CATTCTTTTCTGCAAAAATAAAATTAGAAAAAAACTAAGGGACTTGGAAGAAGGAGCTGAAGAGATGGCCTAGCAGTTAAGAGTACTTGCTGTTCTTCCACCTGACCAGAGTTCAGTTCCCAGCACCTACATGGCAGCTCAAAATGATTGTAACTCCATACCTTCTTTTGGTCTAGGGTACTAGGTATGCTGTGGTGCACAGACAATAAATGGAGGCAAAATACCCATACACTTAAAGGCCTTCAAAGAAAGATGGGGTGGAGAACGTGTTAAAAGTCAGTTTCTCTTTTTTTAAATAGTTTATTTCCTGTGTACACATGTCTCATGATTTTCTGGTGTGCAAAATAAGGATACAATTTTTTTTTATCTGATTGTGTAGCTCATATCTACACATAATCTTAGAGCCAGAGAACCTGAATTTGAGTCCCACCTACCTAGTTATCCATTAATTTTGTGGCTTTGGGGTGACCATAACTGTTACCTGTCTCAGGTTAGTTTGTTTTGTTGCTTGTTTCAGTTTTGAGAAAGAGGCATATTGTATTGGTGGGTTTTTTCTTTTTTTCGAGACAAGGTTTTTCTTTGAACAAACAGCCTGGCTGTCCTGGAACTTGCTCTATAGACCAGTTTGGCCTCAAACTCTTGCCTCTGCACTCCAAGTGCTGGGATTGAAAGTGTGCGCCACCACTGCTCACGTATTTGTGATTCTGATAACTGAGATTATGCATATAAAGGTTTCAGAATCTAAAAGTGTTGACCTAGTGATAAGACTCAGTAGCTGTCAGAATCCAGGAAGTAGTATGTTGGATAGTGACTTTACTAAGTGAGGTGGATGGTTCCCAGTTAGATACTTTAAGATATAAAACAGATCACCAGGGAATGTGCAAAGGGTAAACTTAATAAATTTCTAAACTGCCATTACCAGCAATTGGACTTGAAATCTTTTAAAAGTAGATGGTGTAATTTTATTTTATGCATATAATTTTGGGAAAAAAATCAGAAATAATAGTTGTGGCCTAACTAGTGAATCTGTTTGATGTGAAATGCTTAGGATACAGGTATTTATTGTTAGACCTGAAGTAATACAATTATTTCTATTATTCCATTTGTAAGATTTATTTCCCCCCATTAGCAGGTGTTGTAGTTCCTCTTTGTTTTCTGAGACAAGGTTTCTCTGTGTAGCTTTGGAGCCTGTCCTGAAACTCACTCTGTAGACCAGGCTGTCCTCAACCATACAAGAGATCTGCCTGCCTCTGCTGTCCCAGTGCTGGGATTAAAAAAGTTGTGCATCACCACTGCTCGACTCTTTTAGTTACTCTTGACATGACTGTATAGGACATTGCATTGGATTAAATTGGAAATGTTTAGTACTTTACAAAGAGTTAATTTATGTAACTTATGTTGGACATATTTGTATGTGTCTCTGTAATTTTGTGTGTGTGTGTGTGTGTGTGTATGGAGAGATGTGGTATATGCAGATGATTACAGGTGCCCTTGAAGACCAAAAGCATCAAATGCCCTGGAGCTAGAGTTCCAGACGTGGGTGTTGGTGTTGGGAATCTAACTTAAATGTTTCTTGCAAGATCAGTAAGTGCTCTTAACCACTGTGCTGTTTTGCCAGCCCAGTGTTTGACTAGTATTTGTTCATGATTAGATTGGTTGGAAGTAGTGTTTTCAGTTTAAGGAAAGTAATTTCTGTGTAAACTTTAAAATTTCTTTAGCAGGAGGTAGCGTAACAAAAATGTTGAATCATCCACCATTCCTATAAAACAAATTTAAACATCTATTTCTCTTTTCTGTACTTGCATTTTGTTTTAAGATAGTGTTTATGTATGAGTGAATTTTTTTGTTAATTTCTTTTGAGATAGGGTTTTCTCTCAGTATATGTCACTGACTGGTGTGGTATTCTGTACAGAGCCTAGAATGACCTTGAATTTGTATTCATTCAGTTTCAGCCTTTTGAATGCTGGGATTATAGTTGTGTTTTACTCTGCCAAACTAGCAAGAGCCTTCTGCTTTCTTAATTTTTATTTTGTTTAGTTCTTGGAATTGAACCCAATTTTGTGCTTGCTAGAAGTGCTTTATCACTAAATCTTCATTTAAAACAAACATTTTGGTAGTTGGAGCTTGTATTTGTCATAAAACTTTTGTTGCTACTCTGAGAACAGAAGCACAGTCAATGTTGTGATTGACAAATCTTCCTGATTTCTGCAATTCTGTCCTGTTTTTGTTGTGACAGGGTCTACTTTGTAACTGAATTTTATTGATATTCTGATATGGAAGTAAATTCATATAGTGTAAGCCTAGGTCTAAATAGTAAATCACTTCTGTTTTTCAAAAGCACACACCCCTTCCCTACCATCAAGTGTTACTGGGATTGGAATTGTAATAAGTGGGTTATGTGGGCCTGTTACTATCTGTTCTAAGTCATCTTGATGTGAGAGGATAATGTTTTGAGTGTAGCATATTCATTCACTTAGTGCGTCTTGGGGGAGCAGCTTCTTGTGATCTATGCTTCAGCGAAAAATTTTTTTTATATAAACTTTAAAAAAAAGTACTGTCTATTTTAACCATGAAATTGACTTGGCACTAATCATACTTCTACTTACGAACATGGGAAAGATAAGCAAATCAAGTGTATTGTGCGTTCTCACGGAGGTGACATTTTAGACTGGATACATGTACAAATTTGATTGCAGGATACTTTCAGTAGTTTTTACTCTGTTTAAACCCCCCTTTATATATATATATAGCTTATAGTTAGTCTTTTCTCTCCGTTTTCATCCTCTTGTTTCTACAGGCTAGCTGGCTGTGAGCTTCCTGGGAACAGTTCTGTCTCTGCCTGTTATTTTGTGACTTTACAGGATCTGGCTTTTAGGGACCCAAGCTCAGGTTATTAGACCTGCACAGACAGCTAAGCCATCTCAACAGCCGCTTTTTTTTTCCCCATGGTTCTATTATTGTAACCATGTTTAATTTCTCAGGATGTTTGCTATGTTGTCTTAAAGTAGGTATACATTGGCTTTTACCTAGTGCACATCGTTAGGACAATTTGTAATCAGAAACTTCATTTTTAGAGATAATAAGATTATTCTATGAATAATTCTTTCTACAGTGAAAAAGTATGCCTTGATTTGTGGAAAGTTTATATGTATAGATCTGGTATTTGAAATTAATTGAATGAAATTTTTATGTATACATTAGAAATTTAAGGTTACTAAGCCTTATTTAAGGTTATTATTTGTTAGCTTTTTTTATTTTGAGGTAGGATCTTACTATGTAGCCCTGGCTGGCCTGGAACTCAATCTGTAGACCATAGTGGCCACAGACTCAGAGATCTGCCAATCTTGAACACTGTGATTAAAGGCGTGTGCCACTGTGCTTGGTTATTAAACCAAATAGGTTAGTGGATTAGTATTATAATTCCAGTGCCAGAGAGTTGTCGTAGCTGGTAAAAGCACTTGCTATGTATGGTAACTTGATTTACCACAGTCAAAGGAGGAAACCGATCTGAAAGTTGTTCTATAACTTATACATGTACATCTTGGCATGAGCATACCCACGTTCATGCATGCATACAAATTTGAACCAGATGTGGTGAGACATGCTTATTATTTTCAGCACTCGGGAGACTAAAGAAAGGATTTGAAGTTAGCCTAGGCCGCCCAAGTGAGAATTTGTATCAGAGATGGAAAAAGAAAATTAAATGGAATGTAGAGTGGTAAACACAAGGCATACAAACTTAATTGTGTTAACTTTGCACCAGCTGCGTTGTTCTGCTTAGTACTTTTGTACTGCCTTACATTATGTATCTGGCATATAATGGTTATTAGAAGTGGAGTTTTCCATTTTACAATAAGAAAACTGGGCTGTTTGATTAGGTTATATATCATATGCTACAATGACAAATCTGGTATTTCAGTTTTTTAAAACTTTACAAATCTGTTTTCTAATACTGTTATTGAAACATACGAAGCAAATGTTCTATTACTTTTTCCTTTTTGTTTGAAAGACAAGTCTCACTAAGTTGCCTAGGCTGTCCTTGAACTTCATCTGTAGTTAGCCATCAAATAGCTAGGATAAAGTGGTGGTGCACACCTTTAATCTCAGCCTTCTGGAGGCAGAGGCAAGCTACAGAACAGTAAGGGCTACACGGAGAAACCCTAGCTCAACTTTAATATTTAGTAGTTAAAAATGTTGCATTTTTTTATCAATAATACTACACTAATTTTATTTTTAAATACGAACTACCATTTTAGTTTGTAGGTGCATTATCTAAAATTGGATTTTGCTTTTTTTTTTTTTTTTTTTTTTTTTTAAAGACAGGATCTTGCTATTAAGTCCTGGCTGGCTTGGACCTTGTTCTCTAGATCAGGCTGCCTCAAACTTTTGGTTATTCTCTTTTCTTTGTCTTTCAAGTGTAGGAATTATAGACAGGAGCTCTCGTGCTGGGTTTAGGCTTTCATTTATGATAAATCTTTATATTTGTTAAACTAACATAGTCTTAGACATACTTTTTCAGTGTAGTGTAAATAACGATTTGACAAGTTGAGTACATGTATAGATTCCCACGAGAATTTAACAATAGATTGCCTTATGTAGCATCCTTGAGGCTTATAAAATTGCAACCTTTTTTTGTGTGTTAAGCCAGATCCTCATTGCTGAAGGAACTAGTTAATTTAGTTAAGTCTTAATTTTTTTTCAGTGAGTTAAAAACATTATTTATGTCTGTGTGTGTATGCACATGTACACATGGGTGTGCAAGGGGAGGGTAGGCAACTTTTTATGAGGATTAATCTAAGGACCCAACTCAGTTGTCAGGTCTGTGCTGTTCACCTGTTGGACTGTTTAGTTGGTCTTCTTCAGTGAGTTTTAATAACTCTTGCACATCATAAAATAAAGTAACTTTTGATGCCTTTTGTTCATTTGAAATTAGATATAAAACGAAAACCAGAAAAATGTACATTTATGATAGAATAATGCCTTTTTTTTTTAATTTTTAGCACTTTTCCAGTCATTAACTCCAGGCTCTAGAGAATTTGAAGATGTTTTAAATATTCTCCATTCATCTTACCTTGAGCCATCCTCAGTAACACATTTTAACTATAGAAGAGCTTGCTTGATACATAATGAACTTTTGGAAAAAGAGGTATGTAATTAGCCTGTGGAAGAAATCCTTTTTTAAGTTTGTTAAATGATTTTTTTGTAGTGCTAGGAATTAAACCCCTGAGCTGAACTCATGCTAAGTAAATGCTCTATCCCGAAATATATCCCCCTCCTAAATTGTGTATCTTTTATTGCTGTACTGTGTTTATCTGCTGTGTTAAATTAATGTGTAGTTATGCATAATCCTGAAATTTAGTCATCCATATAGAGATAGCTTACTATAAGAGTACTTAATTGTAGATTGACAAGTTTTTCCTTTTTTATGTGTTAATTAAATGTCAGTATTGAAAGATAATAGGATTTAATGTGTTAATAATCTTTTTTTCTAAAAATGTTGGCTATGTTAATTTTAGTGAATTTTTTTTTTTCTTGTGGATTCAAACAATTTCTTTTAAAAGATTGGGTCTTACACTAGGTGAGAGTGGTCAGGTTGGCCTTGAATTTGAGGTAATCCTTTCTAAGTAATTGTAGGGGCAAGTCTCTCCCCATAGAAATTCTTATTGTAAAAGTATATACTAAGGGCAACTGTTGACAATGAATCCTAATTTCACATACAACTTAGATGTTCTTTGAGTTTAATATAGGAAAACCAGCGTGTATAATTCTGATATAACACACAAATGGAATTTTAGAATGTTTAATATTTAATGTTTTCTAATGGATGTGAAATACTGCAAAGTTTGGTTTTATACCAGCTAGTATGCTACCAAAATTTAACTTTGAATATCTTTCTGAAAGGCACTGTTACTAGTTCTCAAAAAAAAAATTTTGATAGTTCAATGTGGTTTTATGGTATAGTAGGAATTATTTAATTGTGTATGGAAATTTTATCTGAAGTTACAGTATATGGTTGAAGAGGTAGCTTGAATACAAATACAAAATGCTTGCTATTCTATAGCTTAAGTAGATAATCTGTTTGAATCTAAAAGTAAACCCAGCAGTTTAGATTACTTGATGAATATAGAGCATACTGTTAGGATACCAAACAGAAACTGGCCTCGAGCTCAAAGGGATCTTCCTGCTTCAGCCTCTAGAGTGCGGGCTTTCCTAGTGCCACTGTGCCTATTTAAATAAATTCAACCGCCTGCTATGTCTAGTACACCATGTTAAGTGAGAAATAAAAGGTAATAAGACATCAATTTATAATCTTTGAGGAGATGGGGGAATAGTAAATATTTAATAGAAAATTGGCTAAAATTGGTAAGTACTAGATTAGATACTTTGGACTATTTTATATATGTGATTAAAAATGGAAAGAAATAAAATTGAATTGAACATTGAATAGCAGAAAGCATTGAAAGAAAGATTTATATTTTGATAGGTTTGAGATTTCTTAGAAAAATTTCTTTAAGGTTAATGAAACAATTACGCTAAGTAGTTATAGGTGAATTTCTTTTAGTTTACAGAAAAGAGAAGAGAGCTGAAGTTTGATGGTCGATTGGATAAGGAACTTTCAGAATCTTACGCATTTCTTATGGTTGATCGATATCAGGTGAGATAATTCTGTTTCTATTGTAAGTCATGAGTTTCGCAATCATTCAGCAATACATTTTGATAAGCATGAGGTAACTTTTTTCCATGAGAGAGAGAGAGTATTGAACTCAGGCTGTCAATATTGGTTGTAGATTCCTTTACCTACTAAGCCCTCTTACCTAATCTTTGTTTATTCCTTATGAGTTATCTTTATTTTTAATAAAGTGTATGGTGTGTGAACATGAGTTTGGATGTGTATTGGCTCTCCTGGAGCGAGAGTTAGAGTAGTGAGCTGTATAAGCAGTAGTGAGCTGCCTGACATGAGTGCTGGGACTTCAATTTGAGTTCTCTATGAGCTCTTAAGCAGAGTCCTCTTTCCAGGCCTTGTTGTTTTTGGTTTTTTGTTTGTTTTTGAGCCGTGTCTTGCTGAGTAGATAAGGTTGGCCTTGACCGTGGGGGCATCTTGCTGTCAGTCGTTTGTGGTTACAGGCGTTCACTGTAACGTAACATTTTTATTGACATATAAGTAGAAGAAATGATTCAGAGGGGCAGATTATATGTTTTATAATTTCTTTTTCAAATGTAGTCATTGTTTTTCTGATCAGTTCTGTTTCTTCCCTTAGAGCATGCTTTCTCTTAGGAAAACAAAATTCTCTCTCTGTCTCTCTCTCTCTCTATATGTGTGTGTGTGTGTGTGTGTGTGTGTATGTGTATATATATATACACACATATATATACACATACACATATATATATATTTATAATATTATTATTGTTTTTGGTTTTTTGAGACAGGGTTTCTTTGTAGTTTTGGAGCCTATCCTGGAACTAGCTGTTGTAGACCAGGCTGGCCTGGAACTCAAAGAGATCTATCTGCCTACCTCTGCCTCCTGAGTGCTGCGATTAAAGGCGTGCACCACCACCACCCGGCTTCATACATATTCTTTTTTTTAATTAAGATTTATTTATTTATTATATATACAGTGTTCTGCCTGCATGTACACCTGCAGGTCAGAAAAGGGTACCAGATCTCATTACAGATGGTTATGACCTACCATGTGGTTGCTGGGAATTGAACTCAGGACCTTTTAAAGAACAGTCAGTGCTCTTAACAGCTGAGTCATCTCTCCAGCCCCTTCATATATATTCTTATAGCCATTTTTCCCCCTTTAATTAACAGTAGTGATTAACTTTCTCTTTACTTGGGGGCCAGAGAGGTGATTCAGAGATTTAAGAGTATTTGCTGCTCTTCAAGAGGACCTGAGATCAATTCCCAGCACCCTTATTGGTCAGCTCACAAGTGCTTGCAACTCCAGCTCCAGAGAATCCACTGCCCCTTTCTGGTGTTTGAGGGCACTGCACAGACAAATACATATTGTTCATAAATAAGACTATTAAAAATAAATCTTAAAAATATTTAACTATTTTTGTGTCTTATTTCCTTTTTGTTTGTGAGAATATTTGCTACAAGTAGCATAGATAAGGATAAGTTTCTGATAGGATTACCTAAGAAATTTAAGCAAGTTTTACATTAAATCTCACTATTTAGCTGAAATGAATTGTGAAATTTTTGTAATGTATAGTTTGGAAGATTAGTTTTTGAAATTTTACAAATTATTTACTTGTTATGATTTCAAACTGAAATGTTTCATTTACTTAGGTTCAAAGCATATGTGAAAAAGGATTGCAAGTGGGCCAGTCCAAAATAACCATTCTTGGCAGTCCTTCCATGGGTAATTACTTTGCTTTTTTGGTTTTTGTTTTTCATTTATTAACTGCTATTAATCGCCACCTAAAACTCTCAGTGTGATCTGTCTATAGTAACTGTTTATAATGAGACCAAGTTCTGAAATGTAATGCTGATTTTATTTCTGCATTCCTGAGTTTTGCATACTTCTCATTGGTCAGATATTATGATTTAAAATGTTTCATTCTGGTCAAAATGATTTTGAAAAACGTGATTAATTTCCTGTTTTACTCTGGTTTAAGTATCAGCCTTCTTTGCTGTTTTTAGTATTTCTCTTAAAAAGTTGGCATATCTCCTATCCCTTTTATTATTAGTTAAATATTTTGATTTAAAAAAACCTAATCAAATTATTTTTCTCTTTCTGTTAGGTATCTATCTGTGTAGATATGCAGATCTCTTACAGGCTAATCCTTTGGAAGTTGGGGCAGTGGGAGATGTTGTTATTTTTAAAATAATGAAGGTAATTTTAAAATTTTAATATTTGTTTGTATATATCAACGATAGCATTTAACTTGGACTTCAGTTTTAAGTGATCTCATGACTTTAGGAATTTGAATTAAAAGTCTGTATTTGGTGGTATATGAAGATACTTGAGAATTTTTTTTTTTTTTTTTTAAATGTTTTGAGACAGGGTTTCTCTGTAACAGCCCTGGCTGTCCTGGAACTCATTCTGTAGACCAGGATGGCCTCGGACTCACTGCTAATTTAATGTATGTGGGGGTGCACAAGCCACAGGATGTGTATGAAGATCAGAGGAAGACTTGTGGGATTGAGGAGTTAGTTCTTCCTGCAACCTTGTGGAACCTGAGAATCAAATTCAGGTCATTAGGCTTGGTGTTTTTACCTGCTGAACTGTCTCACTGGCCTTCTCTGTCTCTTTCACAAACATATGTACACACACACCACAAATTTAAACTGTTTCCAAAAAGAATTAAAAAAGAGAGAGAGAGAGAGAGAGAGAGAGAGAGAGAGAGAGAGAGAGAGAGAGA